CTATCCCCAAGTTTGTACCTCTTGATCCCCTTTACCCCATTTTTCCTATCCCCAACACCCACTCCCCTCTGGCAACCACCAGTGTGTTATCTGTACTAGTATATGAGTGTTTGTGTTTGTTTGTTTGTTTTTTAAAGAGGTAGAGAGAGAGAAACATCCATCAGCTGCCTCCTGCATGCCCCTTACCTGGAATCAAGCCTGCAACCCAGGCATGTGCCTGACCTTGAATCAAACTGGCATCCTTGAAGTGCATGAGACAACACACAACTAGTTGAGCCACACTGGCCATGGCTGAATATGAATTTTGTCTTATTTGTTCGTTGTTGGTGTTTTTTTCTTCTTGTTGTTTTAAGGTTCCACATAATAGTGAAATCATACAGTATTTGTCTTTCTCTGTCTATAAATGTGAGAGTTTATTTCTGGACTCTTAATCTACTTCATTGATTTATATTTATCCTTGTGTCACTATCTCGTGGTTTTAATTTGCATTTTTTAAAGATTAATGATGTTGAATATCTTTCCAAATGACTATTTTTGCCACTTATCTATCTTCTTTATTGAAGTAGTCAAATCTCGTGCCTTATTTTAAAAAATAGATTTTTAACTTACTGAGTCATAAGAGTAGTTATAGCAGACATACATACTTTTCTTTCTTTTTTTTAGCTTTACCTTTCCATTTTCTTAACAGTTTCTTTAGTGGCATATTTGGGGGTGACATATTCTGTTACCATTCAGTGGGTTCTAAAAGCCTGGTGGAATTAACTTGGCAACTGATTGGATAATAGAGCTTAAAAAAGATAAAGATCTTGGAGCTAGTGGTGTAATTAATAGTAGTAAAGAGTTTGTCAGTTTGGGATACACAAACTGACTTAGGATGGTTCGAGTTATGATTTTTCAACTTTATGATGATGACGCAAAAGCAATGTGCATTTAGAAGAAACCATACTTCAAATTTTAAATTTTGATTCCCCCCCACCCCCCTGTCAGTAATATATGCGGTACTATACTCCCTCATGTTGTTGGGCAGTCCCAGTGAGCCACATGAGGGTAAATATCTGATACTCTATAATGTAGTATTAAGTGCATTTTTAACTTATCATCTTTTCAATTTACTGTATGTTTATCATGATGTGACTCCATTGTAAGTCGAGAAACATCTGTATATTGAAATTGAGATTCCTGTTGACATCCATATAAAAATGTACTTTCTAGTCCCTCAACCTGGGAACTTATTTCTGGATTTTCTCAGAGCTCACTCACTTTGTTGGCGTTCAGGTCTCAAATATCACCGCCTGAAATAGGGCTTCCCTGGCCATCTTATCTAATGTTGCACCTTCTAAAATCACTACATGTGTGTGTGTGTGTGTGTGTGTGTGTGTGTAACTAGAGGCTCGGTGCACGGATTCGTGCACCGGTAGGGTCCCTCAGCCTGGCCTGTGGGGATCGGGCCAAAACTGGCTCTCCGACATCCCCCGAGGGGTCCTGGATTGCGAGAGGGCACAGGCCAGGCAGAGGGACTCCACCAGTGCATGATCAGGGCCGGGGAGGAACCATGGGAAGGTTCCAAGGGTGTGTCCGGCCCATCTCACCCAGTCCCGCTCCCTTCCCTCTGAGATTCATCAGTCTGTTCCATGTTTCCATGCCTGTGGTTTCCACTCCTGCATTGAGCGTCTGCCCCCTGGTGGTCAGTGTGTGTCATAGCTCCCGGCCAGTCAGCCAGTCGCTTAGGCTTTTATATAGAGAGATATTGATGCAGGTGTTCTGGGGGTCCTGGGACTCAAGGATTCTCCACCCACTGTGGGTTCTTGGCTTTGGGCAGGAAAGAATTCAAACCCAAGCCAACATAGAGTTTAAAGTGAAAGTGAGTTTATTAGTGAAGTAGTGAGAAAGAGAATGGGCTACTCCGCCAAGCAGTTCCCCCTTTAGCAAAATTTGCTTCTTTTATTGAGGTTCATTTAATAGGAGGTTAGGGTATTCAGTGAGGGGGAGGAATATTCAGGATCTTTCTGGGAAGGGAGTGGAGATTTCTCAGAAGAGTTCTATTGGCCATTTTGTGTACTTACGTGGGCTTTCTGTTTCTCATCATGGCATGGTAAGGTGTGTCGTTTAGCACGTTAATGTATTACAATAGTGTATAATGAGGCTAGGGGTTATCATTAGTTGAAATTAGTCGCCATGCTGTATTGATCTGGTCTCTGCTGCTTTTAAGCCATAAATCAGTAGGGGGTGGTCTTCCTTCTTCTTGACAGTTTCTGTAGCTTTTATCAATATCAGCTGTTCTGCCACACACCCTATCTCAATATTACCTTGTTTTACTTTCTAGCCATTTATCTGAAGTCATCTTATTGTGTGTTTGCTTTTTATTATATACTAGAGGCCCGGTGCACAAAAATTTGTGCACTCGGGGGGGGGGGGAGGGGAGGGTCCCCCCTGTGCCCTCTTGCAGTCTGGGACCCCTCGGGAGATAACGACCTGCTGGCTTAGGCCTGCTCCTGGGTGCCTGGGTGGAGGCCCAATCCCTAAGTGCAGCCCCTGGTCAGGCTCAGAGCAGGGCCGATTGGGGAGTTGGGGCACCGCCCCGTCATGCACAGAGCA